CGTTTTCCTTTTCCGCCCCGTTTCGATATTTAATGGGGCGGAAAATCGCGACGTTTCGCAGCTTTGCGCTCTTTTCTCATCCGCCTCGCAGACGACGATTGCTCGCGGGCAAAACTTGAAGATCACAGCGGATCTTGTGTGCACCTTGTGTTATAATTATTTAGTAATATCGTATATTTTTGAAAGGACGAACGAAGATTCGAATTTCTAAAAAAAACTCGAAAGAAAAATTCGTAAATTTCGCAGTGAATCTCGTGCACTTATTACAATTATTAGTAATATCGTCATTTTCAAAACGAATAAAAATTCGAATCTCTTAAAAAGTAACGTCATCATCTTTGAAACGAACGAAGATTCGAATCTCTAAAAAAATTCGAAAGAAAAATTCGTAAATTGTGCACCTATTACAATTATTAGTAATGTCGTCATTTTCAAAACGAATAAAAATTCGAATCTCTTAAAAAAATTCGTAAATTTCGCAGCGGATTTTGCATCTCGTATTCTTCGAACGAAAATTCGAAAGAAGAATTCGTAAATTTCACAGTGGATTTTATGCAGCTTGTATTACATTTATTAGTAATATCGTCATTTTTGAATCGAACGAAGATTCGAATCTCTAAAAAAATTCGAAAGAAAAATTCGTAAATTTCGCAGCAGATCTTATGCACCTCGCAATTATATTAGTAATGTCGTCATTTTCGAAACGACGAACGAAAAATTCGTAAATTTCAGGGCGGATCTTGTACACCTCGTATTACAATTATACGAAAATTCGAATCTCCTAAAGAAAATTCGAAAGAAAAATTCGTAAATTTCGCAGCAGATCTTATGCACCTCGCAATTATATTAGTAAGATCGTCATTTTCGAAACGACGAACGAAAAATTCGTAAATTTCAGGGCGGATCTTGTGCACCTCGTAATCTCTTAAAAAAATCCGAAAGAAAAATTCGTTGTTTGGTGATAAAAATTTGGATAACCCTGCAGATCTATCTAGCAGCGACCCCTGGATGCATGCTACCCGGCCAGACCAGACTGTCGCGTTCGTGTCATTGTCTTTGCTGTGCAGGGACAAGAATCGTGATTTCCCACGTGTCGTTACCTTTCGAACTGTTCCTCTGTCTGTGCTATTTCTATCCTCGAAGAAAGAATTTCGCGCGAATGAATCGAGAGAGAAGAGCGAGCTTTCTACGATATTTCATTCTCTTTGGTTGGAAAGGAAATTTGATTGGGGCGCGCGCGTTGGGATGGAAGTTTTCGAAGAAAGTTTCAACTGTATAAGATAGGATATTTTGAAATCATCCAGACCAGGTATTAACGAATACATCTATAGAGATTTGGAATCGTATTATAAGAAATTCGGGTCAAGATCGATTAAATTTCGACTTGATCTTGCGCTTTCAAGGTCGAGCATTCGCTTGATCCAACTCACGAAAACGGACTTTTCCTACTTGATCCCTCGCAGTTTGAGCTCGCTAAGAGCAAATAGCTTTTAGCCTCCTCCCTACGAGGAGAAACAGAGCTTTTCGATTCGAGTTTTCAGGCTCAAATACTTTCCTCTCCGCTCGAGCACTCGACTCGAAAGTCAAGCATTTACTCGAGACTCGATTTTTCTTTTTTTTTTTTTTTTCCTTTTCGACTCTTCGCGAAAACGAAAGTCGAAATCCATTCATATCCGCGCAACGTACGCACAACCAGGAAGAAAAAAGAAAACCAATCGACACGAACTTCCGAAACTTGGATCTGATATTCCGAAAAGATTTTCACCGCGTGCTTCTGAATTCGAGTCGAAAAGTAAATTTCAATCTCGATTGTGTGTACAACTCGAATTCGTGCGTGGATGCCTCTCTTCTCGAATTTCAAGCGCCGAAAACGACGGGCAGAGATGGCCACGGCGGCCTTGACTCTCAACAAACACCCGCTCCATTTCGGACAAAAGAGCATAGGAGTCGCTGGCCGCGTCACCTTTCGAGGGAAACCGACACTTTCCTCGCGTTTTCCAACGAGTTTTTAATCACGAGATATCTCGTGTGAAATTATCACACGAGTTGCAGGCAAACGTTTACGACGTTTCGTAAACGGCGGCTATTAAAAGTTTATGGACTTGCGTGGATTTAATTAATCCTTCCTCGTTCCATGGGGACGAGTTCAGTTTTCGTTGAAATTCTTTTCGAAAAAAAAGAGGAGGGAAAAAAAAAAGAAGAAAGAAAGGAATTCGTTTGAGAAGGGAGTAGATAAATTGCTTTCAAATTGCGTTCCATTAAGCGTATAATAATTCAAATGCGCGACGTGTGCGATCTTTTATTCGATTCGCGTTATTCGCTTTTTTCTATTTTTCCAACTCGAGCCTTTTTCATGCCTTCCCCCCCCCCCTCCCGGATTAATTTAAAATGTTCATCGAACGCCAGTGGAAATTATTTTATTAAACTCGGCGAACGAATTTATCATTAAACTTTTAATCCGTCTTTTCCCGAAAATTCTACGAACTCTATCAAATGTAAAAAGAAAAGGAAATTCTATCGAATCAACGACTCAAACTTGAGAAAATGCCCAGCTTGTCTCAAAAATAATCGTCGTCGATGAATGTTCGAATGTCTCGTCGCGGTTCACCATTTTGTGAAAAGTTAAACGGAATGTGAATCTCGTCGAGGGTAGAAGGAAATCGACTCGTTCGGTTTAATCGGCCACCTGTCCCCAGCTTTCCCTCCAACTTCCTCTCAACTTTTTTCCTCCTCGGGCATTTATTCAGTGGCACGGCCCTCTTCGATGCTTCCCCTTCTTTCTTTCTTTCTCTCTTGAATGCACGAAGCGTGGGGTAATTAGTGGCCACTTCCACGACCTACTTCGCGCTCCCGAAAAGATAAATAAATAAGATCCTTCCTCCTCTTTCTT